AATACGCCTGGCAGGACAGAATTCCGCGACCCTGAGCAGGTGCTGTATAATGCATTTTCCAAGAGAGGTGCTCCTATATATCAAGCCACAACAAACTCCCGCCACGCCCACCCGCCCACAAATGGTCGAGCATTCCTGACGCTCTGATCGAGTTCAAAGGCAGCAGGTCACTTCGCAACTGGTAGAGAAAATACGCTTACATGCTAAAAGAACGACATTCGTGCTAAACCCCAACAGAAAAATAAATAATTCGTAAAAAATCTGAAAGGGTTGCTAATGACTTACCCGTGCTCATCGATAACCTGATAACGTTGACCAGCGCCATCTTCGATGTAGCACGAGTGAACTAACATTGCATATAGCTCTGAAAAAAGGTGTAAGGAGGTACAGAAGGAGTAACATGAATATGGGCCGTATGGGCCGCCTAGACTAGTGAGTCTAGGTTCATCTAGGTTTACAGAAACTTCTGTAGTTTTCGAAGAATTTCCCTTTTCAACAGCAGAATTCCCTTCGTTAGGAGAATTCCCTTTGTCAGGTCTGTGGAACTAGACTGTTAATGATGAAGGTTTTTAGTTCGAGGTATCGGCGTATAGAGAAGAGAACTTGCGTCACTCCCTTGGAGTATAACTTTACCGCTCGTACTTTGAACCGTTTGAAGTGATCACTTGAAATCACACCTTACGCAGACAGTGTGGGTGCATCCAGGCCTACTATTGTGCAACGCTGCTCCGTTTCACACATCGAAGGGCAGCGGTGTGTGGCTAGCCATGAGAACTGTTCTAAGTGGTAATGACTATTCATTGTTACAGGTAAAGCTATAACTACATACAATGACCCCTTCCCTATTGTCTCTCACTCCCCTTTACTGTGTTCGTCTGTATTCGGAAGCAGCGACGCACCAGTGAGGAAAGCATAGTGGCAGGCAGTCTCCGCCCATTATTCCTTCGTCTCTAATAAAAATAGGCGTTATTACAGAATGTTGATACCTTTAAGGGTTGGGCAGTTACTTGGACAAGTGAAACCGCGACCCTCCAATCTCCTGCTTCAGGTGACTCAAGAATTCAGGTAACTTACTTTGGCACAGATGACGTGCATATCCATTCATGCTTGACTTGTTCGCCGACACGAACGTTATGAATTTCTTGGCCACTGGCGCCAGAGATGTGATAAGCACAGACAGGTGGAGGAGCTGTTCCGTTCAACTGCGCTGGTGCCAGCGTACTGTAAACGAGTTGTTTCGTCT